TGTCCTATAGCACTGACCCCCAACCACTCACCTGTACCGTCCTATAGCACTGACCCCCGACCACTCACCTGTACTGTCCTATAGCACTGGCCCCCGACCACTCACCTGTACTGTCCTATAGCACTGACCCCCGACCACTCACCTGTACTGTCCTATAGCACTGGCCCCCGACCACTCACCTGTACTGCCCAATGTCCACCAGGATCATGTTGGCGAGGGAGGCCTGGCACATGCGCAGCACGGTCTGGTGGGACGGGTGTAGAGGGAACAGGCGGCGCTGCATCACAGCCACGTTCTCCACGAAACTCTGGTGCCACGGCTGGGAGTAGTCCAGGCCGCTGGGGGGGAGAGAGGGGACATATTGACACACATGTTGACACACACATTGACACACATATTGACACATATGAAAGTTCTCCACAAAACTCTGGTGCCACGGCTGGGAGTAGTCCAGGTCGCTGGGGGGGGAGAGAGGACACATTGACACATACATTGACACACACATTGACACACATAAGTTGACACATGCATTGACACGCATTGACTTATTGAGGGAGGTAAGGGGGAGGAAGGACTCAGGGAAGGAATGGGGGGGAGAAAAGGATGTGGTTGTCTTGTCTTAGACAGATGGTCCTCTTGGACAGGTGATTGTATTGAACAGGTGATTGTCTTGGCTTGTACATGTGATTGTCTTGGACAGGTGAGTGTGAGTGAGGAGCAGGTTGGGGTAAACTTTATTGATTATTTTCCTAGTGTGAGGATTTGATTCATGTAATTTTCCTGTTTTCTTACATGATATCTTTACTTCTGTTCCTTTCAGGGTTCCCTACTTGGCGCTAGCAAGGACTTTAGAGGTCATTGAGAGTACATCTGCCAGGTAGGCTTTCTTTGTCGTTCATTTTGATTTAATGTTATCATTGTTGAAGGCTGAATTGTGATAGAGATTTCTCTGTTATTTAATACGAGCATATTTCCCTATGCATAGTTTCAAAGGGATGGAGTGTAGAATTGCTTTTAAAAAAAATACCACTTTTTGTTGTTGGTAAAGCATAGGGACCCTCTACATTCACATGCCAACATTTCAAAAACAAAATACACAGACTCTAATCATGTGGTGGGTCTTGATGTTTGGCATTAGCAAAGTAACCCTCCTACCCCCTCCCCCAAGCCCTTCCATCACACTTTTCCACATTGAATAATTTCAAGCTATTCAAAATGGACCTTCAGTGAAAGATCTCTCCCGTTGACCTATGGTAAAAATGGTATAAGTTTAACACCCCTGTCAATACTATTATGTTATTTAAAGAGGTGGGACCTCCAAGTTTTACATCCATCTCCGAAAGGACCGAGCCAAAGGAGAAATTCTTGTAAAGTGCCTTTCCCAAGGACACAACGTCGGACTGAGCTGAGGCTCGAACACCCGAATCTGCAATCTCACAATCATGGGTCCGATAGCCTTACCACTTGGCTACCGGCGCTACTTTGAAAGTTTGAGTGATAAATACGGAATAAAGTGGGTTGTGCTTGCTTTTTCCCTTCTTTTGCAGACTGAAGATGATAGAAATCATGTGCAACTTCTTCTGATACGTGTTCTTTCTATCTTTTTCTTCTGTCTTTTGCAGACTGAAGATGATTGAGATCATTTGTTGTCTTTTGCAGACTGAAGATGATAGAAATCATGTGCAACTTCTTCTGATACGTGTTCTTTCTATCTTTTTCTTCTGTCTTTTGCAGACTGAAGATGATTGAGATCATTTGTTGTCTTTTGCAGACTGAAGATGATAGAAATCATGTGCAACTTCTTCTGATACGTGTTCTTTCTATCTTTTTCTTCTGTCTTTTGCAGACTGAAGATGATTGAGATCATTTGCAACTTCTTCTGGTCCGTGTGTGTTCTATCTTTCTCCTGTCTTTTGCAGACTGAAGATGATTGAGATCATGTACAACTTCTTCTGGTCCGTGTGTGTTCTATCTTTCTCCTGTCTTTTGCAGACTGAAGATGATTGAGATCATGTACAACTTCTTCTGGTCCGTGTGTGTTCTATCTTTCTCCTGTCTTTTGCAGACTGAAGATGATAGAGATCATGTGCAACTTCTTCCGGTCGGTGATCGCGCTGTCCCCGAAGGACCTGCTGCAGTGTGTGTACCTGTGTCTGAACAAGCTGGCCCCGGCTTACCAGGGTGTGGAGCTGGGCATCGGGGACATGGTGCTGATGAAGGCCATCGCTCAGGCCACAGGTGGCTGCTGTTGTTGTTGTCGGTTATGGTGTTATCGATCCAGGACTATAGTTGATTTTGTTGTTACTGTTGATCCAAGATCATAGTTTATGTTGTTGTTATTGATCCAGGACTCTTGTTGTTGTTATTATTGATCCAGGACTATAGTTGTTGTTATTGGTCTAGGGACTATTGTTGCTATTGTTGTTGTTATTATTGATCCATGATTATAGTTGATGTTGTTGTTTTTGTTATTGATCCTGGACTATAGTTGATTTTGTTGTTATTGTTGATCCAAGATCTTAGTTGATGTTGCTGTTGTTATTGATCGAGGACAATTGTTGTTGTTGTTGTTAATCCAGGACTATAGTTGTTGATGATGCTGTTGTTGTTGTTGATTTAGGACTATAGTTGATGTTGTATTGTTCTTGTTATTGGTCCAAAACTATAGTTGATGTTGTTGAGTATTTCTCCCGATTTGACTTTCAGTGTTACGTTAAAGGGAAATAAAACAAGCAGTATAATATTGGTTACATGTAGGTGGAGGTCTTACCTAAGGATAAAGACTGTAAGAGTGAAGTATTACAGAAGACTATAACAGTGAGGTATTGCCTAAGGATAAAGACTGTAAGAGTGAAGTATTACATAAGACTATAACAGTGAGGTATTGCCTAAGGATAAAGACTGTAAGAGTGAAGTATTACATAAGACTATAACAGTGAGGTATTGCCTAAGACTAGAATAGTGAAGTATTA